AAAAATTAAACTAATGATGCATGCAATGTTTACCGAAGACTTCAGCCTGTACACGATAAATACTACTTATTGAATATATATATATATATATATATATATATATATATATATATATATATATATATATATATATATATATATAATATATATATATATATATATATATAAATTTATATATCCTGCAAGTATTTGGGTATACTAGGAATAAATCTTAGCTAAGCTGTGACAAGTTTTTCATTTGTTATGCACTGCTTTAATTAGGCACAAAGGTAAAAATATGCGATTCTGACTAACATTTTTTATAGGACTCGTACTTGCTTATTTGTTCTCCACTTGGCATGAAAAACATGTCATTCAATAGCTAAAATCCTGATCTTTCCGAATATGAAAAAATTCACGTACAATAGCGCGCTGAAGTTCGATTACCTTTTTTTACACACACTGCGTAAGTGTATACCTTTCTTTATTTTGCTTTACACAGAAGACAAAATATGCTACATAGTACAGAAATTATTTAATGGACAGTTCTAATGGACAGGCTATAAGTGAAAAACAAATAATGCTTGAACGCTGAATACCCTGATATGCATATTCTAAATTTTCCCGTCTCAGATAGGCCTACAACATGAATTATTGAGTTTAAATATTCTTCGTTTGTCTTCCTGCCAACAACACTCAATTTACCTCCCGATAACAAATACTGGAGACCGTCATATTCCTGAACATATATCATTCATGCCATATACTATGTTTGGACTGTGGCTACTGGCTGTAACAGTGGTATTTTTCCAAAGTAAGTTTTTCCATATTCGTTCAGTTTTGCGTAGTTAAGTGTTTAAGGATTCTATTAACATTTGCACTAACAAGGCTGATATAATGATCTTTTCTGTGTTGGTGTCATGTACTCAGGTGAATATGATGTTTGTGATGTTACTCTGAGTGCATATCCACACCGGGCAAGCTTGAAAAATATCCCTGGCCACGGTGGGAATCGAACCGCCGCTATATATGACCTTTGGAATAGGCCTACTAGCCCAATGCTCGGCTGCCAACTGAGCTACGCGGTCAGGTCGGTTCAAGTATGTGATATAGTTTGATATAGTCCAATATAGTTTGCACATATCATAATATCATTCTTAACTGATTCAGAGAGTGCATTCCTATATACTCCAACCAGGCACTGTTGCCTGGCCTATTTGAAATTCGTGATGTCGCAAATATACAACTGACCGATATTGTAAAGCTTATAGTTATACTACGTTTTTGTTCCATTTTCCTAAATTTTGCGCATTCAAGTAGATTCAATTGGGTTCGTTGGCTTATGTTTTTTACTTTCGCAATCAAGGAGTTGGCGTCACAAAAACCACTGTTGATATATAATTCATGAAATCTGTGACGCGTATTTCACTGTCTAATGCTTGATATGTTTCGTTAAAATGACTAACAATATGTAGATATTCCATCGTAGAGAGTGGCATGGTTGTATTCTTGCGACGAAGCCGTCATTGGATAAAACATTTGCAATTTATGTCTGTAAAAGTTTTTAAAGCGCTGGTTTGTTTCTGCTTTATTTCAATTGCACTGGAATTTATATCTCTTGAATGTCAAACACCTTTCGACAGGGCATGAGTTAAAGCCTTTATGTCAAGTTCAACAAGTTGATAAAGCGGTGTTTGACTGGTTAGACTATAAAATATATAAGGTGTTTCACTCGTAGGCTTCACGTGATTCCGGTTACTTAAGGTTACAGGACACCCTTTTTGGCGTTTTGCGGAAAATCGCTACTGCGCGCTCAAAATCAGTCCGATTTTCAGCAAATTTTCACCAGATGTTAGCCAGTGCATGCAAAATATGGTAGAGTTGTAAAATTGACAAACAATAAAATAATGTAAGAATTATTCAGGAAATCTTAAATCGCGGTACCTTTACGCTTTTGAGTTATGTTCCTGCTGGTTTTAAGATATAATGAAAATATTATTTTTATACAGTAAAATAGTTGTTCTAAAAAATTGTGTTCGGAATTTTTTGCTTATTTCGTCATTCTGCTGATATGGTGATTTCTTTGACGACTGCAGTATATTTCTGAATCGTTTGCGTGAACGGCTCCTTATTATTAAAATATCCAAAATTAGAACAAAGCCGAACACAATTGTGAAACTGACGTCTTTAGCTATATGTCCTGTGAAAATTTGAGAAAAATTCGTTAAAACCCGCCGGAGAACAACTCGTTTGAAAATCAGTAATTGCCGTAAAATGTTTCGGGAGAAAATTGAATTTGAATATTACATTTTCAATGTTTTTCTTATTGCAGCGAAATGTATTTTATTAAAAATACCTCTGCGAGTTTTCAACATTGTTCGTTCAAACTTGGTCAGATAGTAGGACTAGTCTAATGCTTTCATAGAAACCAATAAAAGAATTTAGGCAAAATTAACACTCAAAGGTGTTCTGTAACCTTAAATAACGCTAAAAAACTATTCTTTTTAAAGGTATTCAACAGGTATCATTAAAAAATGTGTTCGTCAGTCACCGTGGACAAGATGAAGATAATTGTGGCAACTGGACTAATCCATGTCGCAGTGTAAGACACGCTGTCAAGATTTCCAATGCTAATGACGTCATACATGTTGATTACGCTGAGGGAAGACCTTATCAAGAATGTGAACAACTAATCGGAGGAAACCAAGCCATTATGCTGGATAAATCGCTGTCGTTTTACGGCTTTAATGGAAGTGCGATATTACATTGTGAACAAACCTACCCATTTTTTGAGATAAAAAGTCAAAACCTCAAAAATTGTTCAGCCCCAAAAATTGTATTCTCGAACTTTACACTGGCTAGTCGTGGAACGTTGGTTCACGTTTTATCTGCCATTTCTAGGTTTGAACTGGAATTTAATTTCTGCGACATAGAGAGGTCTTTGTACGTTGTCCGGGCTATATCCTTATCTTGCTCGATTCAAGTGTTCAATTCCAACATTCTTAATCCGATATGGATGGCTTGTGGTAACCTGACGGCTCATCTGATTGGATCAACATTTTTCTCATGTCAAAGTTCTTTTATTTCCAATTCTACTTATTTTTCAAGCGAAGTTAGCTTACTTCCTTATGAGTCAGCATTGGAAGTTCATATCTATAACTGCAGTTTTATACCGAAGGGAGGAAAACAATTGTGTGATTGGTTTCTTTCAATCATGCTTTTGACTGGTAATGGTAACATCACAATTAAGTCTTCCAAATTTTTGAACTTTAATAATCATGTGAAAAAGATAGGATTTGCGGCACTCTCAATATACGGCAAATCTCCGCTCTTATTGTCAACTAGCATAGTTTTTGATAAATTACATTTTGAAAACATTAACTCAGGCCCGGTGGTTCGTTTACAAGTGGAAAACAATCAATGCCATGTCTCTATTTTTAACTCTATGTTCGTAAACACTACCAGAGCACTTACCTGCAAGATTAATCTCTGCTCTGCTAAACTTTACAATATTACGTTTAACTCAGGAGGTTTCATCAGTCTTATCGGTGGTTCATACCATTTGTTGTCATGTCATTTTTCTCAAAATGCTCCTGTGCAAAATCCAAATTATCCACTTATTCACACTGACAGCTCAACCGAAGTAACGTTCGAAAATTGTTCGTACGAAATTTATCCAATTGCAGAAACTAGTCGCAATGGCAACTTGTTGATCAGTAACATGTTCTACGTTTTATCGTATGACTCATCCGTAAGTGAGGTAACCGTACGTCTTGTTTTGAAAGGATACTTCACAATGAATTGTCCCCCAGGTTATAGAATGAATTTAAACACCAAGTGTGATAATTCTGGAGATACACCAGTATGTTATTGGTTATTTATTGCGTTATGTGAGCAATGTCCGCGAAAAACATACTCTTTCGACAGAGGAGAAGTTCAAAATCACAGGTCCAACCACATCACCTGCCATGACTGCCCTGTGGGTGGGAACTGCGTCGAAGGCCAAGTGACATCGAAACCTAATTTCTGGGGATACAAGACAAACCAGAAAGTCGAGTTTCTACAATGTCCTCCCAAATACTGCTGTGATACACGTCACTGCGAAGGCTACAACAGTTGCCACGGTAATAGAATGGGTACTCTGTGTGGTGAATGTCGAAGCGGGATGTCGGAATCTCTATTTGACACAAAATGTAAACCAAACAAAGATTGCACAAGTGTTACGTTTTGGCCAGCGATCTCTGCTTACTTAATTATTTATCTCTCATTCTTCTTGTACAAGAAAGAGATCATCAATTTTGTACAGAAATTTTGTAGTCCCAGAACACGAAATAGTCTAAACTCTAAACCCAGTGGCCTCCTAAAGATACTCTTCTACTATTATCAGGTTGTTCATTTGTTAAGCAATTCTGTTGGCTCGGATGTAAAAGTTCAATTCTTTGACGACATAGAAAAACGTCTATCCAGGGCATTCAATTTTCTTATCATTGGTATTCCTTCCATTGATTGTCCATTCCAAGATCTTCGTCCTGTTCAAAAAGCGGTCATCGTTCATTCGGTAGGATATAGTTTGTTAGCACTCCTTTGTTTATTGTATCTTTCTATATTTGTATTCAAGGTAGTTAAAAAACTGAGGGCTAGATCCACTCAGCAGATGGTCGCACTTACAGAAACAATGGATCATAGTCCTAACCTGGCCGACCAGAATTCTTTTCTGGGACGTATTTCAGGGGCCTTTGCTTACATTTCGCTTCTAATGTACGCTTCGTCCACTCAATTCTGTCTTTCCCTTCTCCACTGTGTTCCAGTTGGTGACAACCAAGTTTTATTTCTTAATGGTAATGTAAAATGTTACCAAACATTTCAATATTTTCTTCTTGCTTACATGATTTCTTCCATACTTCCATTTTGTCTTGTTCCTGTTCTCGGCTCGTATCTTTTAACGTCTGGTCGAATTGGTGTGAAACAATTTTGTGCGGCTTGTATCTTCCCTCTGCCATTTTCTTGTTTTTGGATGTATTTATTGCTCAAGGACTGTCGCTGTGGAAATCAGGGAAGGTATAACACAATAGAAGAAAATGATAATGCAGTAAGATCTGAACAAGATAATGAGGAAACACAAAGCCTTGGTAGTGAAGAAATCACCTTTACCTCCTCCACTGATAGGAATGAAACCACTTCTACGAGAAGTAAACCAGCTGTTTGCATTGATAGCAATGAAGCCACTTCTACGAGAAGTGAATCAGCCATTCTCAGTGTGTTGTTGGGTCCATTTAGACCTCATCCAGCTTTTATGTGTTTTCCTTCTTCACATATTCCTTGGGAAGGTTTTCTTATCCTTCGTAGATTGGTCTTGATTATTGTGTTGACTTTCGTCTACGACATTCAGCTCAGGTTGTTCCTAGCTTTAATATTGTGTGTTGCCATTCTAATCTTGCATATGTTTGTGTATCCTTTTCAGAGAAAACGCGACAATGTTCTGGAATCTTTTTCTCTTGGTACACACGTGGTCCTGTGTGGTTCAACTTTAATAAAAGCTCTTCATTACGGTGAAGATTATTCTTCTTTTTCAAAAAGATTGCCTGTGTTGAATGTGATTGAAAAGATTATTATAGTCACTCCAGTATATATCATTATGATCGTTGTTATCTTTTCTCTTGCTATAAAGTTGGTATTTGGTTTAAAGCTCTGTGTATCAGTCTTGATTCGAAAGGTTAGGGGGATTTTAAGGTTTACTATGTAATCACTTAAAAATTAAATATTTTAAACATTAGTTTACGAATTGTAGCTAAAATAGTGAGTTGAACTATTGAACGTAGTGCCATAGATAAATATATGTTAGGTCGGACAACATTAAGATTAGCATAACTATATATTGATGTAGTTGATATTAAACTTGTAAATGTTCAAATGTAAATATAATGATTTTTCAATATTTTGTGTTATTATATTTCAATATTTATTTTATGGATCTTACTGTCTTTTGTGCATTAACCTTTCAACCAGATGTCCTTGCATATACCGTAAACCTCCAAATACAAGCCCACCGGAATATAAGCCCACCCGTATAGTCGCTACAGTGTCTATCATTACGATCGTTGTTATTGTTTCTTTAACCACAAGATTACAACCACTCAAATCCGAAATCGGAGACGAAATATCATATGATACAATCCACCATTTAGTAAAAATGTATCAACAAATATTGGACCAACATTATTGAATATCATCGATGATGAATTCCCGGCAGGCCACCCCTTACACAAAATATTCAACCGCAACACTGTTAAAATAAGCTACAGTTGCATGCCCAATATGGCAATATCAAACAAACCATCGACGGACACAACAAGAACAAACTGTCCCAAACCGCCACAACGAGCGAAGAAAACACATGCAACTGTAGAAAGAAAGAGGAGTGCCCAATGTCCAAAAAATGTTTGGTCGAATTTCATATTAAATGGCAAACCTTGAAACGGGCCAAACCCTGTACAGCCCTGCTTCGAATAGATACAATCTCTGTCTTGTTTAGTTTAACTTTAGTTTACTGAATTTGCCATATATTACATAATATCCTTATAATATCATAATATAATATAATATGACAGAACAGAACTTGCGTCCCAATTGCAACAGAACCCCTTTACATATAAAACTCCAAAAATATCGGAGAAACAACAATCAATTATAAAGTCAAGTAAATAAATAAATAAGCGAGTAGGTAATACTATACTAAGGAGGACAATAGTCCAAACACTTGAATGTTCGAATGGATTCGCACTGTTTCACCTGAGATGAGGGTTGTTCTTATGAAGTAAGATTTCCTATAATGATCTTGCTTATGCTTTATAATTAGATTATAGTTATTTATGTCATAATTACGTGTTCGATACCTGGGCTCGAACACTGTCAAAAATTTATTAATGTCGGTGGTTACCAAGCCATTTCTCGATTTAAAGAAAAATGTTAAGTCTGAAATTTGTCTACGGTGTTCTAAAGGGCAATAAGTTTAGTTTGATCAATCTATCAATATACTTCATATCAATACTTCAGGATAGTTTAGAATAAACTTGGTAGCTCTTCTCTGGACATTTTCAATTAATTTCGCTTATTTCTTGGTGTAAGGCGACCAAAGACTACTACCATATTCCAGCTTGGGACGTACAAGAGCACAGTATATTATTTTTCTAGTTTGTATATCTTGCAAATCACTGAAAATCCTTTTCATTAGCCCTGTTAGCTTTAACAACAATTTTCTCAATATGATCTGCCCAGGATAAATTGTGAGATATAGTAATCCCGAGGTCGACAAATGAAGGCACACACTCAATCAGTTGATCACCAAGACTGTAATTTCTATTCATTTCCCGAGTTGACCTTTTCTTTGAAATATGCAATACTTTGCATTTCCGCGAACTGAAATCTAATCCCGAACGGAGGCTCCATGTATGTAGACAGTCTAAATCGGCTTGAAGTAAGTTATGGTCATAATTTATATCCATCGCCCGATACAATTTCGAGTCATCAGCGAAAAGTGCAATATTCGAGTTATTAATAATGCAACTTGGTACATCATTCACATAAACCAAAAACAACGAAGGTCCTAGAATGGAGCCCTGTGGGATGCCTGATGTTACTGGTAGCCAATCAGAAGAAGCACCCTCCAGGACAACCCTCTGTTTTCGTTCAGAAAGATAACTCTGCATCCATAACAATAGTGGACCTGTGATACCATGCAACTGAAGTTTCAAGAGTAACAAATTATGAGGCACTTTGTCAAATGCTTTGGCTAGAATAAAGATACAACACATCTACCTCCTTTCCACTTGCGACAGAGTTTACAATATCATCATAGACCTCGACAAGTTGTGTTACTGTTGATCGACCCTTCATGAAACCATGCTGTAAATGGTATATCTGAGGCTCCAGATGCTTATACTACAATGATTAAATACACAGCGTTCGAGTACCTTGGAAATTGTATTTAGGAGCGAGATGGGTCTATAATTGGAGGAGAGTGTTGGGTCATCGGTTTTTAAAATCGGCGAAAGATTTGCTAACTTCCATTCTGAAGGAACAACCCCCTAGGATAGCGACAAGTTAAATAGCTTGCATAGGGATGGTGTAATTTCGGTCGACACGTTCTGAAGAAGCCTGTTCGGTATTCCACCCGGGCCACAAGCCTTATTAGGATCCAAGCTCTTAAGCACATTAGCGACTTCGCTTTCCGTCAATTCAATGTTCGACAGACGATCAAACGGCCCTTTGTGTAACAACGTCTGATAATTGAGATTGCAGTGGCTGATGTTGGACAGGTGTAGCGAATACGGAGTGGAAGTATTTGTTTAAAAATTCTGCTTTTATTAGCTTTATTGTCTGTTACAAACAGTTGACCATCTCTAAGAAATTTTGGTATAGGTTTTGTTATTGTAGATGATTTAATGAGCACCCAAAACCTTTTTGGGTTTTCCACAAGAGAATCCCGAATTTTATAAGCATGATCCTTGCGTTTTTTGGCGATCATTTGTTTTGTTTTACGCCTTAGGGTTTTGAATTTTTCAATTTCAATAGGCAATTTAGTACGGCTGGCTATCCTTCTTTGATGTGTTTTCTTTCGAATAATCTTTAATAATTCAGTGTCAATCCATGGCTGATTAGTCACGCACCGTTTTGTACATTTAGGTATGTGTTCATTGACAGCAGCAAAAAAATAGATCACACCAGATGTTAAGTGAATTGTTTATGTCATTTTTAACAAAGGCCATGTCCCAGGGGGTATGCATCAGCAGTTCTTTAAGGGCTATCCAATTTGCATTCTTAAAATTGAACACAGTACGCTTTGACTTTATTTTTGGATGAATTTTTAAATTGAGATCAAATTTTAATATTTTATGGTCAGTTTCAAGTATATCATGTATACTGTGGGAAAAATACTTTATTATATGTAAACCTGAATGAATTAGTGTCTTCATGCAGACATGCGAAAAAATTTCTTTTAACTAACATTTAAAGGGCATACACTCGAGACAGACACATTTTTCTTTTAAATATACCGCGCGATCTTAATAGCTATGTTATGCGTTGTTAATACTTCCGCGTCCTGTCAATTTTATCAAGTAACAAAATAATTGCTTTGCGTGCTGTGTAAATAGGATTAATTTAAAGCTTTCATCCACTTGTACATAAATACTGTAGGTTTTTTGCTGCAGTCTGACATAAGGCTAATTTATCTGATGAGTGCCACATCTTGTGGTACGAAACTAATAGTAATAAAGATGCCTAGTGGAATTTGTTGAGTCGTATATATATATATGTATATATATATATGTATATAGATATATATATATATATATATATATATGTATATATATATATATATATATATATATGTATATATATATATATGTATATATATATATATATATATATATATATATATATATTTTAATTTCTTAACTTAAAATATAGTCACAACTCTGAGTTTCACGCTCAATGCGATCTTCAGGCGACAATGTTTAAATCTCAATAAAAAAATTCCTGTATGATTACGTGCGAGTTCGTT